TGAGTTTTCTTCCGGGAGTGTGCATGTCACAATATCCCTCTTTTAAATAATTCACGGCCAAGGCATGTGCGGGGGAAAAAGGAGCGAGGCCTGGTTGAGTTGCGTTAGTAATGTGTTGAAACTCGCGGTTATGGTAAGAGGTGTGACATTTCCGTAACACGCTCGAATCGGTTGACCAATCACGACACTCTGAGCACACTGAACTTTTCAGAAGGAGGGGCTTCATAGAGACAGGAACTAAACAGTAATGGTCCTGTATCCCTCTTCTCTCCTCTTCATGTCACTAACACGCCAGTGGGCAGGGCCAAAGTTGCAATTATGTAGTAGGCGTTGGTCTTCGTCTTCAACATATCTATGACAGGCACATTCCACAACGAGTCCTTCTCGAAGTTCTCAGTTCTGAAACTTACAGGATATTCTTATAGTATGATGACCTCTTATATGTCAAAAGCTCAAGGAAAATTTCATTCCCCCTTTAAGTCCTCTTGGCATGCAAACAAGAAACTATGCTTCTATAACCACAGGTATAGAGCTGTAGTTTCAACCACGCAACTTTGCAATGCTGTTTGCGAATGTTTGCTGGAACCATGATTTCGGGAAACACGACTCCTTGAACTATGCTGATAATGACGGAACTTGTTGTGACCATAGTTGGCTATCGATGCTTTCGGGAAACACACCCCAGAGTGTTGTGCTGCAACAATTTAAAATATGTGAAAAAGAATGTGTTTTTTGTGTTCTAGTAGACCCAGAATCAAGACTTTTGAAAAGGACATAATAGGTCCCCTTTAATTAGATCTCAGCTGCGAGATCTTTCCTCTATTAACTTGTTCTTGCTGGAAGTGTGGAGAATGCCATTGGGTGGTAGATCACAGCTCTGTCCCGTGGTGAAGCCTGAGTGCCATGGAAAGACTGGGAAGGCTATGCACCATGTCTTTGGACAGTTTGAAGGGTATGGATGTGATGTGTGCTATTGGCTCCTCTATAATAAGATTGCTGTGATCTGTGGGGAGGAGAATTTACTGGAGCACAACTCCCCCTAGGGCATCTTCATAGAAATCTGCTTTTCCACCAGCTTTTGGTGCATCTCAGCCAAGCTGCTTGGTTCCTATTGTTAATGAGCCGCTCTTTCACTCTCTTTCCCCCCAGCCTGAGCCACCATGAGCCTAAAGGGGCTAGAAAATCTCAAGCTGCAGCTGATGGCAGAACAGGAGAGATGAACACTCAGGCTTTCTCGCTCTGCAGGCATTAACATGGCCATTTCATCCAAGCCTTTTCCAGTTGAGAACTTAACATGACCCGGTCCACAGGCTCCTTCCTTACGGTGTAGAAATAGTTGCATGGATACCTTTGTGTGCTTCAAAGATTTCGAACTGGTTTAGTACTGCTAGAGAAATGCTCCTTTATGTGTTTCCCAAATGCTTTTGTACACCAACGAGCATGCGCACTCTGGTAAAGTGATTGGTTGACATGAATATCTTGAACCAGTCAGTGATCAGACTATTTTCAGAATGGAATACTTAGCGTAATGTTTACTGTATACTCTTATGCAACGATTAAGATTTTAAACAGAAGTATGCCACTCCCCCCCCCCCCCCCTCTCTTTTTCAAGTGACCTTTATTTTTTATAGCAATTTATACAATAGAAATAGTTTCAAAGCATGCAAGTATCATCAAGTATGAGACAAGTTCAAATTCTGCCGTATAGCGGAAGTTGCAAGATAATCATTCACCTCAATGGAGTTCAGTGTTGATTCAGTTATGTTCAATAACTGTATAAAGTTAATTCATTATGAAATGAGTTCAATTCAGCTATAAGCAGCTCTAGTGAAGACAATAGTGAGATTATTCAGCTCGAGTCAGCTAACTGGATCAGTTCAATTGCTGGATATTAAGTGTCCCTAACTAAGCGAGCCAAAAACGACAGTGTCAAATTCTATCAAGTGACAGAAATGGAGAAACAAAAACCTTGGGAGAAACCAGGCTCACTCGGGGGAGCAGTCCTCCTCTGGGATAGATGAATGAACACGGTTTGAAATTGATTGGGATGCGTCACGCGGGCATTAGGATGGATTCAGTATTAATCTGATTGAATGTAAAGTTTGCTTGATATTTGGAAGTAATAATAATAATTTTTATTTTAATTCAGCGAACAATTAACAAGTGCTATAACAAAATGTATTATTACTATTTATTAATACATTTAATAATTATTAGCGGATTAGTATTAAATTTTGATATAATAAAATGTTGTAATAATAAATAATAATTTATAATAATAGTTTATGTAAATAAAATAGTAAAATATTACGTTTTCGTATTGTATGTATTGATTTTAATTCATTGAATAATTTAATTAAAATAATATTTTCTCCGTGTCTCCGTGCCAACGGCTCCGCCCACAACGCAGAGGTGAATTGCTAATGAGCTACTGCCTCTCTGCTGAAGCGAAGTCCCAGAAAACGGCACAGGTTTTGTGATTTTGGCTAAAAATGGCATAATCATAATTTAAAGACCACTGGGAATGTTTAAAAATAGCTCAAAATATGATCGGAGTGGGACTTTAAAATTGTAAAATATATATTTTTTCATTAATGTGTCCCGCAGCAAATGACACATCAGCTGGAGTGCAGTGAATTATGGGATATATATGCAGAATATTGTAAAATGTTGTTTGGCAAATATCAAAGTATTCTGTGAATACAGTACGAGATACAGCAACTCTGAACATAGCTACACACTTAAAAAAAAAAAAACTTTTGTACACTTTATTTTAAAACCTTTGTATATCTTAATCTTACCTTCAAGGCAGTAAATGCCAGATCTCCATGATTTCACTGTGTTTCAAAGATGGATTTCCACGACACTGCGAGGCCATGCAGATGAGGATTTATCTGATCTTATCATTTCCTTTGAAGAAAAACCTGATCATCTGTAATGTGTCCCATATTAATGCTAATGCCTGCAGATTTCACCTGCTTCCATCAGAACCCATTTTAGCTGGCCTGCATTTTAACCCATTTAATACCAAGATAGAAGCTTTTGCTGAATAAACAGCCAAAAAAGTCTCTTTGATGTTCTTAAAATATCACATGGTACGGCGTCATCCAACATTAAGAGGAGAAAAGGAAATGTTCCACAGGCATCGTTCAGATTATTAACAGTATTGTGATTAATTAAGGTGAAGAGTGTTCTAATGAGACCAGGCTCTATATTTTTTAAATATATTTTGATATTTTCTTATAAAACTTTTTTTTAGCTTACTTTACGACATTGAGTACAGCCTGTTAAAGTAGTAATTTATGGTTTTCCTGAAGCTTTACAGAATGGTAACAAATGCTTTTTTTTCTTTCTTTCTTTTTTTTTTTTTTTTAAAGATTTGGCACTCATACATCATTCTGTTTTTTTTAAAGACAGTGTGACAAATGAACCAGAAGCTAAATGAACCATCTCCTTGACTATTATTTGATTAGTCTGCCAGAAGTGAAGACATTTACCCCAAACTGAATTAAACATGTGAAATAATTGTATTTAAAACATTCACTCGCTCTATTTTTATAAAGCAGAGCACAGTATGCAGTGTGCTCAATTTTGATCATTGCCCAAAGCGAAGATTTTTGATGATATGTCTCACATTATCAGGATTATTCAAGCATAAGGGTGTTGCATATGGCTGAGGTGTAGAGTTGCCTGCTTGTCATCTGGCTGTTTGGGCATTATTTCTGCATTCAGAATGCATGCTGGGAATTAATTAGCTTGGCCTTCATTTAGCTGCCTCCCTGTGTTAGAGAAGTTCAAACGCAAATGGTGTTAAAGTACAGTAGCGGCGCTGTGGGACGTCCACTCTCTGCGTTTTATCGCTTGATGAGCGGAAAATGTATCGTGATGGGAAGCGCTGGGAGGCTGTGATGGTTTGGAATGGAGGAAATTGGGGTTGTAACACAGATTAAATTCGCCCACAAATCAGTATTGGAGACAAAATGTGACCATGTTCGTTCATTTGGCCAGAGGAGAACTGGTCCCCAGACTGAGCTTGGTTTCTCCCCAAGGTTTTTTTCCCCTCCATTTCCATCACCTGATGGAGTTTGGGCTCCTTGCCACTGTGGCCTTTGGCTTGCTTTTTTGGGGACACTTAATATTCAGTAATATTATGGATTTGACTGCACTGACACTATTGAATAAGAACTGAATTGAGCTGGATGATGACACCACTGTTTTCTGCAGAGCTGCTTTATAGCTGAGTCGACATCGTTTTATAATTGATGAATTCTGCAACATCTACAATGTGAATCGACATTGAACTAAACGGAACTGAATAACGACACTGCTGTCTTCTATAGAGCTGCTTTATAGCCGAATCGAACTCATTTCATAATTGATGAACTTTACAGTTCTTGAACTGAACTGGATCAACTGAACTAAATAATGACACTATTGTCTTTGTAGAGCTGCTTTACAGCAGAATTTGAATTTGTCTCATATTTGATGAAATGTATGTGTGTTGTTTTTTCTGTTTATTACCGTGAAGCTGCTTTAAATGGATAAATGTGACTTGACTTGACAAAATGCTTTAACCTCAATAAATTCAGAAGCATGGCCGCCTTCATCTCCAGCAGTCGCTAATAGTCCTTTACCTCCCTTGTGTTATGGAGATGATTTTCTATTCAGTGAGAAAAGTGGCCACTTGGCTGTTAAACCGTTGTCCAATTCCAGGAATTTATCTGAGGGTATAACAATGATTGTCTCCATGGAGCCTCTGGCCTCTAGCCTGAATCATCTTCTCTCTGCTCTGGATGAGAGCCGTGCCGCTGCGTCCGTGTGTGTGTGTGTGTGAGAGTGCAGTGGATCAGTCGCATGATATCCCTGATGCCCCTCTCTAAAACCCCCAATCTACCTCTGCATCCTGCAGTAAAGCCAACTAAAGCCCTTCCGTGCTATAACTTCTCCCTGGCATCGGGCCTTAACGCTTCCTCCTCTTTTTTTTGTCTCTCTCTCCACAGTACTGCTGAGTGTGCTTCAGGCGAATGGCCAGACGGAGATGAAGAGAGTGGTCGGAGACAATGCCACGCTGCCTTGCCACCATCAGCTGTGGCAAGCCGACATTACCCTGCTGGACATAGAATGGATGCTGCATAAATCCAGTTCACGGCAGACAGTGGTGAGCGTGTGTGTGTGTGTGTGCGACTGTGCGCTGCTGATGCTGGCCTTCGCTGATCTGCAGTGCAGTGCTTTTTGCTGCGATTATGGGAAGGGTTGTCTTTCTGTAAACTGTACCGGCATCAACTGGTGCTGCAATCAGCACTGTGAAAACTGCTCTCTTTTAATGTCACTGGTTTGCCTCGTATCAGCCCCAACAATTACTTTTATGACCTAATGATGTGGAATTGGCCCGAGGACAAGTTTTACATTTTAATCTGGCCACGGCTCAAGCTGCTCCCTGAGGTCCTTCCCGACACAATATATCTGACAAGAAGGTTCAAACCTTTTGCCGATTGAACTTCCTGCCTGAGACGAATCATTTCAGAACTATTTTTCTAAATGGCATGTGGCCCTTTAATGAGAGAAATCTATATTTTAGGGGTGAGTTTTTTTTTGTTCTGCTTAGGTGACAATTTTGGGATCTTTCTCTTTGACACTTAAGCGCCACCAATAATTAGGGATGGGATATGAACATTTTGGCCGATACCAATAACGATAATTATTTATATTTGAAAGCCGATAACTGATATATTGGCCGATAAATCTAAATCCAAGTTTTTATATAATTTTTGAGATCCTGATTACAAAAACAAAAGTCTCACCATTAAAATCCATGTCCCAAGCACACAATTATAATGATGTTCTCATAATAATTTTATATTGCCTATATGACAGACTTGTGTTGCACTTAACTGTATTTTCCTTTTTGAAGGGACTCCAATCATATTTCAAGCAATTCAAAAAACATCATGGTGAACAGTGCGCATCTGAAGTGTCTCAACTGAAGGAAAAATACATTATTTATTGGCATTAATATATCAGGCCAATTTTTTTTATTGGGCCGATAACGAAATTAACATATATCGGGCGATATCGATATGGTGGCTGATATATCGTGCATCCCTACCAACAATTCAAACTTTAAGGTGCATTTTTGTCAGGGTTTGGGCAGGTGAAAGGAGCGAGGACTCAAGTGTAGGACATTGGGTATTTATTGGGTATAAAAATAAAACAAAAACTACCCCAAGGGGGAAAAACAAGACAGACTTCCCGACTTGACTTGACGGCAGGGAAACATACAATGTACATACAACAACGATCCAGCACAGGACTCCAAACACAAGGAGAATAAATAGGGAGCAAACAAGGCAGGTAACGAGGGAGGACAGGTGGGGAAAATGAACTAATAATCGGGTAACAAGATGAGAGGGGCTAGACAATCGACAGGAGAGCACATGGCACAAGGAAACATACATGACAAGCCATGTGCTCACACCAAACATGACCAGAACACAATCACATGGCCAGTAAAACAAATCACAAGCCATGTGCTCACACAAAACAAGATGATGAGAATATTTTCGGCCTGTAAGATATTTTTATGTACGCCTGTATGAGTTTCTTTCTTCTGTTGAACACAAAAGAAGATATTTTGAAGAATGTTGGTAATCAAACAGTTGATTAATTAAAAAATACTATGACTTGGTAAATGGCTACCATCAACAGTTTGATTACCAACATTCTTTAAAATATCTTCTTTTGTGTTCAGCTGAAGAAAGAAACTCAGACAGGTTTGGAACAACATGAGGGTGAGTAAATAATAACAGCATTTTCATTTTTGGGTGAATTATTCATTTGAGAGTCCCTCCAAGGCTGCAGTTATTTGAGCAAAATACAGTAAAACAGTAATTTTGTGAAATCGTATTATAATTTAGAATCACTGTTTCTATATTAATATATCTTTAAATGTAATTTATTCCTGTGATGCAAAGCTGAATTTTCAGCCTCATAACTTCAGTCTTCAATGTCACATGATCCTTCAGAAATCATTCTAATATTTGGTGGTCAAGAAACATATTATTGTCATTGTAAAAAAAAAACCCAGCTAAATTATTAGTGTTTTTATTAAGATTAACTTTTAGTAAATGTTAAATAAAGGGAAACTTTCATAAGTGAAGAGGGCAGTTTTTGGTGAGCAGAATAGCTTTAGCACTGCTTTACCAAATGAAGTTAAGTATCAGGGACACCGAAAGACAAATATAACCAAGCGAAGAAAGGCCTGATTCGCAGTGACATCAGAGTTTAGCAGACTCGTACTGGAGGCGTGTGACTCAACCCTCACTGGATTCTACCCGTAGCTCATAGAATTTCAAAAGCTTAATCAAAGCAGTATTTATTAATTCGCGGTATGTTTCCTCTTTCACCAGTTGATCACCTACTTTGGGGGTCGGATCTACGACCCCAATGACAGTGAAGCTGGACGGCTGTCCCTATCGGGCGACTATCTGAAGGGTGATGCTTCACTCATGATCAGTGACCTCTCGCTCACTGACTCTGGAGAGTACATCTGCAAGGTCAAGAACGGCGGGAAGTACTACTGGAACACAGTCAAACTCATCGTGCTCCGTGAGTCTTTGGCCCTGCAGCTTGGCTTTAATTAACTCCTCTTCTAGACCCCGAGAACGAAAAAGACATGACAGATGCTTATGTCACGGAGTAAGGGGTACAAAAATAGCACCAGGATGTTGTCTCTGGGCGTAGTGCGCCAGTTGTGCCCCGATCTTGGCGTGAAATGACATTCAGCGACTGTGTGACAATAAAAACGACACATATCATGGAGAGAAAAATCATCACATGTATACATCTACATCATTTATACGACACACTATAGTTGAACTTCCAAAACACATAAATCAGGCTAAGTCACTCATTCAACATGTATTATTGCGAGGACGTGTTGAATAAACACTTCTTCTTGCATAGAAACATTATACGTCTGCTTTCCCCCATTTTTTCTTTCTACATTCCATCTTTACCGCTTCGACAGCTGTATAAAGACATTTAAGAGCACCACAAATTTACGCATGCATTTGTACAAATGATCCGTAGCTTTGAAACGACACGCTCGATTCCGAGGGGCAAACATTAGCATTTGTCTTGTTCAACACAAAGATAATGGCTTGGCAAAGGACGAGGCTGCAGCTTCCTCTTTGCGCAGTAAGTGATCCTGACAGAGTCGGGAGATGGAGGGGACCTGCATCCCACTCAGCGGCTGTAATTGCATCCCCCCCTGCGAGTGCCGGGACAGAATTGTCCTGGCTCAGCAGATAGAGGCGGCAGGAGCAGATGCTGATGGCCGGGGTGGGCAGGAGCGGGGGGTCGAGGACCGAATGGTGAACGGGTTGTTTTACAGATTCATGTTATAGAGCTCGCTGGCATCACACTGGGTTTTAAAAGGTTTCATGATGTGTGGAAAAACAAATCTAAATGGGGAATGATGCAAAAAGGGTAAAAGTGCATGTGTGTGTAACAGATCTGGTTTTACTTACATACTCTAAAAACTACTCGTCCCAAAATTAGTTTGACTGTTTTTTAGTCTTTAAACTCAACTGATTTATGCAAATAATCCATTTAAAAAGCAAATAATCTAATTAGTTTATCCAGATGGAATATCTTTTATTTGTAAATTATTTAACTCACTCGATTATCAAAAGATATGCATCACTACCTGGTTATTTAATATATAAGCGAATTCTTTGTTGAATTTCCAGCTAAAACACCGCTATTGTGATATTAAATTCAGAGGATTTTCAAAAAATATGCATCTCTTTGTGGTTATTTAATATATAAGGCAATTATTTGTTAAATTCCCTGCTAAAATACCCTGTATTGTGATATAACATTCATTGGATTGTCCAAAACTATGTAGTTATGTTATATATAAGCAAATTCTTTGCTAAAATACCTACATTACAATATAAGAAAATTCATACCATGATGTAATGTCGTCTCTGGCCTGCTTTGTCACCTCTGGCTTGCCTAGTTGGGGACACTTAATTATATTCAACAATATTATTGATCCGACGCTGTTGTACAAGAACTGAACGGAGCTGGGCGATGTCATCATTTTTTGCAGAACTGCTTTATAGATTAAATTAACTAATTTAATAACCGATGATCTTTGTAACGGAACTGAATCAACACTCAACTGACTTTAGCTGAACAACAGCCGAAATAGATAATTTTTCAGTTATCACTGTAAAGCTGCTTTGAAACAATCTGTATTGCATAAAGCACTATATAAATAAAGGTGACTTGACTTAATGTTTACCTTACCATGAGTGTTTTACCATGTCTGTTTTGCAACTTGCAGTGAAGCCGTCCAAACCACGCTGTTGGATGGAGGGTCGTCTGCTGGAAGGAAGTGATGTCAGACTGAGCTGCAAGTCCACAGATGGTTCTGACCCAATCGGCTACAAATGGGAGAGAGTCTTGGACAAGGGAAAATATGTTGGCAAGCTCCCACCTCTGGCCCTCATAGGTGAGCTCTTAGAAAAGTAATAGCGTTTGATCATTTACGTCTTTAAAGCTGAAGTATGTAGTTAGTGGCACCACGCAGAATGACAAAAATACAGCATATTTTGCAAATGCCCCTTTCCCAACTCAAACATCACAAATACAGCTCATACTTGTTGGCACGAAGACATGTCTCAACAGGTAAAAGTAGCTACTTTCAATAAAGGTTCCAACATATTAGTAATACTTAAAGCTGTATTGCCCTGTGTCATGAGTAAGCAATTGAGTAACACCCTGTCTAGAGTGAACGCAAACGTCTCCCTTATAATAAACCGATCCAATTTATCTGCACTTGACGCATTTTTTGACATGACGTACCACAGCTGGTTGAGGCTGTCTATACTGGACACATCAAAGTAAACAATATAAACTGGAACATTTGTCTTTCTGAATGGGTGCATGATGATGATTTATTGTATCGCAATTCCCTGTTCATGTTCACGACCTGTTTAATCTTTGAAGACTCCTGTACCCGAAGCTTAAAGTCTTTTCCCATGTAACGCATCAGTCATGGTCCCACAGCAGCTAAACACCCTCTGGCTCCGCCTGCTACACTAGCCACGCCCCAAACTCACGCTATAGGTTGAGCTGGAAAGAGATTGACAGATCTGTGTGGACCGCTCTTAATGTTTATATGGTGCCTGGAGGTCTCAATGTTTAAACTTGTAGGTCAGATAAACCTCTGAATGACATACTAATAGTAATCAATGAACAAACTGACTTAAAAAATTTATTACAAAAATTCTCCTTTAAGCAGGAGGAAATTGTAATAGTGATAATTATTACTAATAGTTCTCTGTGCCACATTTAGATGTGATGTAGATGAAAATGATCTTTGACTGTGACCTGTTGCTCAGGTTTTTAACCGCTAAACTGACTCGCTCTGCTTCCGCAATACTGCTTTCCCGAGAAGAAAGAAAATGCAGCGTTAAGTTTATATTCCATGCGTGGGGAGTAAATCATGTGGACATCTTCTCTCTGGAGGAGCAGAAAATAGATGAAGACACTACAGGGCCAATTTAACACCGCAAGCATTCTCAAATTAAATTTACATCAATTCCATCAGCATTTTTCACCCCACATGCTTCACTACCTCCTCAATTAGCCCCTCTTATGAGATCGGATAAGAGATGTGACGTATGTGCAATGTAATGCACTCTGTACCCTTCATCAGCCTTTGTGTAGAATTTTGCAGAGCATGATCTGTTCATTCAGGGGAACACTTTCAGTAGTTGTTTCATGTCAGAAATCAGGTTTCGATGAAATCAACACTAACCATAGGTTTAGTACTTGAAGCTTGAAGTGTGTCCTTATCTGGCCCAGTGTGATCAAGTAACAAGCCACGTCAACCTTTCTCGCTCGTTGTGACAACTAACCCCTGCTACTCCCATACCATACATGCGTCAAAGTAGCTGGAGCTACTTTTCTCTATTTACTGATATGAACCCTTATAACGGGTCGGGCTTACCATAGTGAATCAGGGTAAGACAAAAACATGTTTTGGAAGAAGGATTGATGGATTGACTCTTCATTTTGAACAAAACGTTACATAGTGCACCTTTAAACAAAACAACAAAAGTAAATCCAGACAGAAAACAGGATATTCCAGACACGGGAGAAACAGAACTAAACTAAACGCGCACATAATATCAAGGTGTGTTCAATGAGTTGCTGTGGTGATTAACAAGGGTAACATTGGAAACAAACGAGGGAGCAAATGGAAACAAAGGAAACAGGAACTAATCAGAGGAAGTAAAATCAGGAACAATAAGAACAACAATACACTTCAAAATAAGAGTCCTTAAACACAAGACAGGGGAACATGAGACAGGAATTGTAGCAAGCACCAAATCAGCATATTAGAATGATTTCTGAAGGATCATTTGAACCTGAAGACCAGAGTAATGTTGCTAAAAATTCACTGGAATAAATTAGATTTTAAAATATATTAAAATAGAAAAAAGTTTATTAAATAAATGCAGCCTTTTGTGAGCATAAGAGACTTGGAAGGAAATTTTCCTGACCCCAAACTTTTGAATAGTGGTGAAAGTGAACTTAAATTTGCCAAAATGAGATTTTTATATGGGCGGGGCTCCCCAGCAGCCAACAAAATCAATGGAAGATTATTATGGAAGAAATATGATTTATTGTTTGTCATGTGTCCTGATGGATGCTGTGCAATTCTGTCTAAAACTATTAACATATTAAAGTAACTTTGTGTTTTTTGTCTTAAGATCTGAAGAACCCTGAGATTGTTACGCTGAAAAATCTGACGAAGGAAAGTGCAGGTGTCTATAAATGCACCGCCAGCAATGATGTCGGAGAAGAAAACTGCACTTTAGAGGTCAAAGTACACTGTAAGTATCTGTGTTTGTATGGTTAAGTTCAAAATGGCATATTAGCATACATCTTACTCCATACTGTGCCAACTACCTACTGTTTTCTAAAAATAGTGCATAGTATGCATTGACAAATGCTTAAAACAGTAATATGCTACACTGTTGACACATTACCTCATTGTGCTTCATGTTTAATTTACCAAGTGACATCCAGTTATCCATTACCTTGAAAATAAAAATGCAATTTGCATTAAAAAAAGCTAATTTGTTAAAAAAAATGTGTTAATTCTTTGCAGTCTGAAAAAAAAAAAACCAACAAGCCAAGATGTCACAAATGTTCTACTGCTTTGTTTGTCACACTGAAAATGGAAAGTCAAATAGAGTGCATTGCTTTGCATTGTGGGATACAATAGACAGTATTGCATACAGAAAATTAGCATACTAACAGTAAACATGCTGCATGACACAATGTATGAGTTGTATTTTGTAGTGATTCCGAACTTGACTAGTGTGTTTCTGTTTGTTAGATACAGACACAGATGAAAAGATTTATGCAAACTATAAATTCCTATTCTTAGTTTTTGTTTTGTTTTGTTTTGTTTTGTGTTGCTGTTTTATGCTTGCTTCCAACACGTAATTTAATTGCTGTCAGCACAAGTCTTTGCTGTATAGCAACCCACAGTATTTTTGTGAAGATGGCGGTGAGATCCTGACCAATTCTGCTATGCAGTGTGATCTTTCAGCACTATTTAACATCCAAATAAAGAATTCATCCTTTTTTTTAACACAGTGTTCATTGATTTAATCCCTTCCTCCAAACCTTTCTGAAACTGCACTGCTGCATAATTAAATATCAGATGATGGAATTAGAAGAAATAATTAATTATGTGGCAGAAAGAAAAAAATAATTCATGCAAAAAATGGCATATTATTAAAGGAAGGAGCATAGTGAGTGCGGTAGGTTGATTAATGCTGTGCTGTTTGCTGGAGTATTCTCATGGTGAGTTACACTCCTTCAGGTATCTGCAATGCAGAGGGGGCTGCTTGTTACAGGCTGTTTGTTAGTCTATTCTGAGCATGAAAACTTTATATTATGTGTCTTTTTAAAAGAAGCACAATTCTGGATAAATTGAGAATCACAATTTCTTTTTCTTAAAAAAAAAAAAAACAGATTCTCCCACGATTCTGAATAAACAACTAAACAAAAATAACATGCAATTTACTAGAGGTTCAAAAAAAAAAAAAGTTAATTGCTGCAGTCTATTTAAAAATGTTTCATTGATTTGAATGATTTTTTTTTTAAGGTTTGAATGAATGATTCAATGACTCACTCTTAAATACTTTACTTGATTCATTACTGTATGAATCAGCGTTTTTGAACGAATATCTGGAATAAACAATTCAGTGACAAATACTTTTTTCAACAGTAATTTCTTGCCTCCTACTGGTGTAATTGATACAATCTTTATTTGAAGATTCAAATTACTTTCAAAAGGTGATTTACTCTATTTTGATCGCTACCACAGAAACTAGACATCGACTAGAACCCATGACTTTCTCTAACCATTAGGCCACGGCTGCCCATATCCAAACTATAAACTTTTGTCTCATTACTGTAGTAATTTGAATGTTTGTAAGAGAGAAATAATGATACTGTGTGGTTGAAAAGACCGCGAAGCTGTTTCATACCTATACATGACAGCGCCACAGATCTGAATGTTCGCTGTGATCGTACTTGTCAAAGGTTTAATAGACAGAACGGGACCGCTGTCATTTAGGAATGAGATCGCATGGTTGTTTGAATCGAGATTGCGATTAATCGTGCTCCTCTAATGTAGAGTGTTTTCCATAGTGCAGTAGTGGTAAGTGAGTGTGTATGTTTAAACCGTTTTAGGCACTTCTGGGCTTTATATATGATTTGTGAATAGAATAGAATGTTGTGGGTGGTTGCTAGGATGTTACTATGCCATTGCAAAGGTACTGGACCTGCTACTGTCAGTATATACATGACACACTGCTGTGAGCAAGTAAGACATGCTGCTGCTGCACAATATAGCGTACATGAATTACCCATAGCAGATCTATACAGGTGGAGCTGGGGAAGCTGGAGGGTTTCTCATGCCCTGCAAACTGCTACAGCAAATTCTGACCAAGTACTTGAAAGATGAGCAAGTTCATTGGCTGCTGATACAGCAGCAACCAATCAGCTGTTCTTTATAGAGAATGATGTGATTGCAAGCAGATTAAGTTAAGGACCTATTAGCCTGCACCATCTGGAGTTTCATGCCATAACTTTGTATAAATAAATGTGACTTGACTTGACAATAATAACACTGAAGCTTACCTTAGCATACACCAACTTATTATAAAATGGAATCAGCTGTGAAAGGGTTAGTTCACCCAAAAATGAAAATGATGTCATTAATGACTCACCCTCATGACTTTGATGATGTCTTTATTTCCTTTCTGGACAAGGACAGTATACCGTACATACATTTTCAATGGAGGGACAGAAAGCTCTCGGACTAAATCTAAAATACCTTAAACTGTGTGAACGGAGGTCTTACGGGCTTGGGACGACATGAGGGTGAGTCATTAATGACATCATTTTCATTTTTGGGTGAACTAACCCTTGAAGTGTCTGCTCTTTTACAGATGTCCGTGGAATGGGCGTGGTGGCGGGTGCCGTAGTGGGCGTGTCCTTCGGCGTTCTACTCATCATCCTCATCGTCTGGCTTGTTTTCCGCAAGAAAGAGAAGAAGAAATATGAGGAGGAGGAAGCGCCCAATGAAATAAGGTAAAAAAAAACAAAAACAAACAAAAAACATTTCTTTAAATAGCACATTGGACATAATTGCAAATTTCAGCCTGACAATATTTATAATGTCTAGCAGCTCTATTTCTCTTTGTTAACTTGCATTCATGTCTAGGCTAATTTGCAGGTGTCAGGATGAATTATGCAGGTTTGGAGGATGAGTGAGCATTAACAATGCAAATGACAGCGAGATACACACATCTACACTGCTCTCGCTGAGGTTAAAGAGATACATATGGTTCCAGTGTAGCAGAAGTCACTTTCCCTAGACTTGTTAGCCAGTAGCCTGAAAGGTTTGAAGGTATTTGAGTGTCTTTATATGTTGTTAATACTGATTTTCAAAATACATTTACATACACTGAACAAAATTATTAACGCAACACTTTTGTTTTTGCCCCCATTTTTCATCAGCTGAACTCTCTCAAATATTGTTCACAAATCTGTCTAAATCTGTGTTAGTGAGCACTTCTCCTTTGCCGAGATAATCCATCCATCTGTGTGCTTAGAGAACTGCTCACTAACACAGATTTAGATAGATTTGTGAACAATATTTGAGAGAAATAGGCCTTTTGTGTACATAGAAAAAGTCTTAGATCTTTGAGTTCAGCTCATGAAAAATGGGGGCAAAAACAAAAGTGTTGCATTTATAATTTTGTTCAGTGTAAATAAATTTTAGTGAACGGAATAGTTCACCCAAAATCAATCAAGTCACAAAATCACAAGTGTGCATTGCATTCTTAGCATTCCCGCAAAGGGGCGTTATTACAGGAATTTAGTCGTTTCATGTCAGCTACTGTCCTGGAGGACCAACAGTTTGAAAAAAATTCTTTCTGAGGGAGTGGACATGTTTATAGCTAGCCGTCTGAATAATAACACTTCCAATTTGGCACAGAGATTTGCAGGCCCTTGCATGCTAAGTATACACAACAAGATGAAGCATCTCACAGTCCCTTACGAAACAAAAATATATGGGAATATACTGCAAAATATAATGCGATATATATTACATAATACATTTCCATAAATGGGAAACTAGTGCTTATATTTTTCAATATACTGCAATATATGCATTGACCATGTATAGCTATATATGAATACATATAAAATATTTATAAATGAAGACAAAAATAGCATTACATGTAATATTCACAAAGTTTTATCCTTTATTGTGTACATATGTTGCTCATGTTCCCATACAATTGTGAATGTATGTTCACGCATATACAGTGTATATATACACACACACACACACACGCACACACACACACACACACACACACACACACACACACACACACACACACACACACACACACACACACACACACACACACACACACACACACACACACACACACACACACACACACACACACACACACACATTCACGGAATGAGTTACAACATATATCTAGTTCCCAGCATGCTTTGACTGTTAAAGGAGAGAAAATGTACAAATGAAGTGTTATTTAATGTGTTTTGCTCAATATTATTATAGGAGGGAGGTCTGTTAGTGTTGAATGTTCTATTCTTTTGGAATTTAAAATGATTTCTGGTATGAGTTTTTGGGGTTACCATTGTGCTGAAGAGTAGAGCCTGTGGTTCGGTTGACGATTGGCCGAAGACCAATAATATAATGATGATATTTTAAAAGTAATGGCTGTGCACTCCTTGGCACAGTTAGTCTCTTGCCTAAATACTTTAGTACATGCAGGTGTGCTTGTGCTTTTGTTGACTTCTTTTAGCTTGAAAATATGAAACATTTATAATGCAAATAATTAAAAAATATATATTACATTATATATATGCTCTATTTATGTGTGTTTCTGTTGCATGAGTAAATATATCTGCAATATATTACACATGCAGTACCATATCTGATCACATATACAGTACATCTATATATATACATCTACAGGTCCTTCTCAAAAAATTTGCATATTGTGATAAAGTTCATTATTTTCCATAATGTAATGATAAAAATTAAACTTTCATATATTTTAGATTCATTGCACACCAACTGAAATATTTCAGGTCTTTTATTGTTTTAATACTGATGATTTTGGCATACAGCTCATGAAAACCCAAAATTCCTGTCTCAAATAATTAGCACAAATAAAGCGCTGTGAATTCCGGCTCGCGTACCCCGAAGTGATAAAATAAAACAAAATTCTGTATCAAAATTTATAGGCAAGAAAAGTAGTTTGTTTAGGCTGGGTTGTATGAATTACAAACCTGCGCACATATTTTAAAAAGCACATAACTATAGAATTCTGAATGAGCATGTGAACGCCGTCAGCGTTAATCACAGGTTCGCGTTTAAAGTCTGATCATTTCGACGGAGGTGAATCAATCAAAGTTAACTTTAGCTGGAAGTAACATTATTCAAGAACTGCTATAACGCCAAAACAATCTGTTACCTTAAATTATATGTTTATCTCTGTAAAGCTGCTTTGAAACAATTCATTGTTAAAAGCGCTATATAAATGAAGATGACTTGACTTGACTTGACTAGCATATCATGAAAAGGGTCTCTAAACAAGCTATTAACCTAATCATCTGAATCAACTAATTAACTTTAAACACCTGCAAAAGATTCCTGAGGCTTTTAAAAACTCCCAGCCTGTTTCATTACTCAAAACCGCAATCATGGGTAAGACTGCCGACCTGACTGCTGTCCAGAAGGCCATCATTGACACCCTCAAGCAAGAGGGTAAGACAGAAAGAAATTTCTGAACAAATAGGCTGTTCCCAGAGTGCTGTATCAAGGCACCTCAGTGGGAAGTCTGTGGGAAGGAAAAAGTGTGGCAAAAAACGCTGCACAACGAGAAGAGGTGACCGGACCCTGATGAAGATTGTGGAGAAGGACCGATTCCAGACCTTGGGGGACCTGCGGAAGCAGTGGACTGAGTCTGGAGTAGAAACATCCAGAGCCACCGTGCACAGGCGTGTGCAGGAAATGGGCTACAGGTGCCGCATTCTCCAGGTCAAGCCACTTTTGAACCAGAAACAGCGGCAGAAGCGCCTGACCTGGGCTACAGAGAAGCAGCACTGGACTGTTGCTCAGTTTTGCATGTCATTCGGAAATCAAGGTGCCAGAGTCTGGAGGAAGACTGGGGAGAAGGAAATGCCAAAATGCCTGAAGTCCAGTGTCAAGTACCCACAGTCAGTGATGGTCTGGGGTGCCATGTCAGCTGCTGGTGTTGGTGCACTGTGTTTTATCAAGGGCAGGGTCAATGCAGCTAGCTATCAGGAGATTTTGGAGCACTTCATGCTTCCATCTGCTGAAAAGCTTTATGGAGATGAAGATTTCATTTTTCAGCACGACCTGGCACCTGCTCACAGTGCCAAAACCACTGGTAAATGGTTTGCTGACCATGGTATTACTGTGCTCAATTGGCCTGCCAACTCTCCTGACCTGAACCCCATAGAGAATCTGTGGGATATTGTGAAGAGAAAGTTGAGAGACGCAAGACCCAACACTCTGGATGAGCTTAAGGCCGCTATCGAAGCATCCTGGGCCTCCATAACACCTCAGCAGTGCCACAGGCTGATTGCCTCCATGCCACGCCGCATTGAAGCAGTCATTTCTGCAAAAGGATTCCCGACCAAGTATTGACTATTGAGTGCATAACTGAACATAATTATTTGAAGGTTGACTTTTTTTGTATTAAAAACACTTCTTTTATTGGTCTGATGAAATATGCTATTTTTTTGAGACAGGAATTTGGGGTTTTCATGAGCTGTATGCCAAAATCATCAGTATTAAAACAATAAAAGACCTGAAATATTTCAGTTGGTGTGCAATGAATCTAAAATATATGAAAGTTTAATTTTTATCATTACATTATGGAAAATAATGAACTGAATCACAATATGCTAATTTTTTTAGAAGGACCTGTATATATAATGAAGTGTATTACTTACTATACAATTACATACATTATGATATATTACTAAATATATTACCACATATTTTTCAATATATGAAAAGCGGCAATTCCTTATGTATTATTCAATATATCGTAATATATTAACACAATATATTATTCTGTATGTTTTCAAATATAGTGTTAAACCATTTAATATATTGATCATTCATATATAGGGAAATATATTTTCTTTTCATAAGGGGAGTCTCTCTCTTTATGTTTTAGGGAAGATGCGGAAGCTCCCAAAGCCAAACTGGTGAAGCCGAACTCTCTCTCCTCCTCTCGCTCTGGTAGTTCTCGCTCCGGAGCCTCCTCCACTCAGTCTATGGTGCACAACAGCGCCCCCCGTGGGCCCAGGCCTCGACTGCCCGTGGTGGCTGCCCTTAAAGAAAGCGGGCAGCCCGAAAACTTCCCTTCAGTACCACCGCCGTACAACCACGTGGTCCCCAAACCCCCGGAGCCCAGCAGTAGCCCTAAACCCAGCTCGGCAAAGCTCAGCCCAGGGAACCTGACGAGGATGGGCGCCACACCGGTGATGATCCCCGCGCAAACCAAGGCATTCCAGACTGTGTAGGAATACAAAACACACATAAACACACACACACACAAACAGATAAATACACACACTGCAACAAGCATCAACTCCCACATCTGGTATCAGGAACATTCCCAAAGGATTTCCCATTCCCTGCGGAAAACCCAGGTGGTCAGGCCTTTTGATTCAACATTGGAAAATAAATGCTTTTGTTGTTTTTATGTGCACACTGAAGTGGAAGGAGACCCCTCGTGGAGTGTATGTATTTTTAAAGGGTTTAAAGATGTGAGGACTGTGCCTTGTGTTGTTATGGTGGTTTGAGCAAACAAAAGAGGCAGATATGAGCAGAGATTCAGCTCTGCCTTTACCCAGACAGACAGCCTGTCCACCTGACCACACACTTCCTGTCCTTGCTGGGTTTGAACTGACAGCTACAGAACTGGAGGAGGAATTCACATAAGCGGACTCTTTCCGGCACCTGCTCGTCCGCCCCTACGAGGATTCACATCTGCCACTCATTTCCTCAGCCAATCAGCATTTGCCAGGCAGCCCAGCTGGTATCACACCCCAACAGCCAATGGCAGGTCACCTGCTGGGCGCAGACGCTATGATTGGCCCAGAACGAGGAGAAATCAACACACCATGACATAAACAATGACAGTAAATTGGTTTGTTCCTCATTAGAGCTATAAATATTCCATATGAATAGAAGTATTCCGTATTTAATAGGTATTTATAGGAATTCCATATACATTTCAGTTAAAGTATCTAACGGCATTCGTAACTTGTGTGTGCACAATCCCTTTAAATCATTTACTCCCATTCTTCAGGATAATGAATACAGTATCTTCAGTAATGAGGTTGATTGTCTCAATGGGGGAATGGTTTGGCTCGGCTTTGGCTCCTGGTATTTGCAATTGAAATCAGATGTCTGGTTGGCGCATCCCATTGGATGCAAGTGTGATGAGGTTGGGTCAGGCTTATTCAGTGCTGGTTTGTTCAGGTCTGAAATGTGTAACGATTACGATGAAACCGAACGAGCAGGCCCACACACAATCTGCCTGTGTGGAAAGCACTAGTTCTACACAGATTTCGAACGGCTGGTCAAAGCTCTACATTAGTGGTTCTCAACCTTTTTGACTCGAAGGTCCACCATTATCAAACTAAATTTAAAGATATTTCTGCTGAAATTATGACAAAGCTGCTTGTTTTGAAATGTTTTATTGACATAAACTGGATTCTGACATTTCAAATTTGCATTACGATCCATTTTGTGATTCAAGAAGATCCAAGATTCTTCAAAAACAAATATGATCTCCAATAAACCCAATAGTTATTTAAAGGGAAAAAGTTCAATTTCAGTTTACATTCTTTGTGTGTGTGTGTGTTTAGGTTAGATTACGTTTTTAAATGCATCTTTTGGAGGTTTGCTGAGGCCACTGCTCTACATTACCGTTAATATTTGTATTTTTTTATATATTAAATATTATGGCTAATTTGCTAATGCTTTCCATCTACCAATAAGAATGTAGTGCTTTCTGCTCAGTTTAAGACATTTGATCATGTTTAAATAGTTTTCTTTAACAAATGTGGTGGGAAAAGTCTGCAGATTCCATCTGGGCCTGCACGAATGAGCTTTGAATGTGTTGTATAGCTGGCTATTTTGTGCTTTTCTCCTCTTTTCAACCATTTATTTTTAAGATTAATTCGATTTTTTGCTATTTTAGACACATCATTGTAAGCAGTAGGTTAGAAGCTTTAAATTCTTGAATGCAGATTTATATATATTAATCATATTTGTATCCTAGTTGTGTTCTGGTTACTCTAATGCCATTGAAAATATATTTTCTCTGTTTTTCAGTTGTTTTCCCTTCTTATATTTCAACGTTTGTTGAATTCTAGTGCTCAGAGAGGCATTCATACCCAGAATCAGTTGCAAAAAATGTGCTTTTTGAGTTGCCATTAGTAAACAGCAGGAGGCCATAACATGAATTCCTCCCCTCTAGTTTTTTACGTCTTCAGAAATGAATTAGACGGACGAACAAGATGTCAGAAAATATTCAAAGTGACAGGTCACCCTTAAGGAGCACAATGTCTTCTTGCCGGATAACCAGGGAATAACCGTCTCTGCATTGAACAAGACTTAGATGTCAATGCTCTGAGAGGTAAGGGAACCAAAGGCTGACCTTATTTATCTAAATCCAATCCTTCACAACTCTTAAGGCCAATGCAAAATAACTCCGAATGTGCACCCAGTTCAATTGATTTAGCTTTAACCAACAACTCGGTCGATTCCCCGGCTTTGAAGTCTCTTTCCACGCACGGGGAACGTGAGGAAATAAAGTAATGTTAGTCAAAGTACTTCCTCGTAACCCGCTGTTCCTGTACGGCTGAGTCTGCTGTTGATGCTGAGACGCATGGTTCAGTCGAGTTTGTGTTCGGTCAGTTACGGCTGAACAGTTTGAATGCTGAGCTCTAATGTTAAACACCCTGCATACAATTGCTTGAGAGAATGTGCATCTAAACACGATTGGCAATGGACCTGCATGACAACGATAGCTAGAGAAAGGCAAGTATTTTGGCTCAGTGCTAATATCAGTACATTATATACTAAGAATCGCATTATAAAAAAGGATTTTGGTTAAAATGTTACTAATGTAAATACTTTTTGTATTTATACGTCAACTTTCATTATACCCAATAAACATGGAATGAACTCATTCTTGTCGATGACTTTGCACTTCAACAGCTGTAGGCTACTCTATACAGTAGTTTTGTTTGGTCAGTCTGGTGTTTTGACTGCATGAGTAAGGAAACCACGAGCCATTTCCCTCTGTCGTTCAGAATTATTATTATTTTTAAACATTACTGGCTATTGATTGATTGGAAAAATGACCTTGTACATATTTCCTTTCATTTCAAATGTATATTTGTACAGTATCTTAATGATTTTCCTTTGGTTTGTAATAAAGCATTAAATGGCAAGCCAATGAAAACAGTGTCATTTTCTGTCTCAGGAGATTTCCTTTCTCAAACGCCTTTTGTCTTTGTGGATTAAAATTAAACTCAAATCAAATCTAAAGATATCCAAACAGTGCCTAAAATGAACTTTTTTTCCACACCTGCCAATGGCCGGTGACTTAAAGGAGTAGTTCACTTTCAAATGAAAATTAGCCCATGATTTACTCACCCTCAAGCCATCCTAGGTGTATGTGACTTTCTTCTTTCAGACGAATACAATCAGAGTTATATTAAAAAATATCCTGGCTCTTAACAAGGTTTATAATGGCAGTGGTTCGCAACCAACAGATTTAAGCTAAAAAAACGTGCATCCATCCATCATAAATGAACTCCAAACGGCTCCAGGGGGTTAATAAAGGCCCTCTGAAGCAAAACGACGAGTTTGTGTCCGGCCAAACGAACATACGGATTCTGAAAGTGTAAAGCGCAACTTATGCGAGTAATGCGACGTATCCTATTGCTGATATTTACACGCACTATACGCTATTTCTGACGTCATACATTTCTTAAGTTGCGCAAGTACTGCGTTTGGCCGGAAGCTAGAATTTTACTTTGTAACGTGTTAAATATGAATATTTTTCTTACACAAACTAATCGTTTTGCTTCAGAAGGCCTTTATTAGGCTAACCCACAGGAGCCGTTTGGAGTTAGTTTATGACGGATGGATGCACGTTTTTGAGCTTCAATCTGTTGGTTGCGAACCACTGCCATTATAAAACTTGGAAGAGCCAGGATATTTTTTTTATATAACTCCGATTGTATTTTTCTGAGAGAAGAAAGTCATATTGCCTACACCTAGGCTTGAGGGTGAGTAAATCATGGGCTAATTTTCAATTTAAAGTGAACTAATCCTTTAAGAAAATTTCCCGGCCATAAAATTATTTTTGCAAAAACAGTTATGACACCAAAATGTTAGATACCAGTGAAAATTCACATTTTTAGATACAGAAATGTAATAAAGTAATCAAATGTAAAATAACACTGCATAGTCTTCACTGTATAAATTAAGCAGAGATGAATCCCTATTAAAGTTACAAAAGTTATTCAGTCAATCAAAGAGCAATGCGTGATTTTGTTGTTTGATTAACATTAAAAACACAGATGGCAGCAGAATCATTAGGATGCTGTCACTTTAATGCCCTGAATGTAAGGATCCTATGAAACACATGCGTTATCTTTCTCAACTGTTTACGTTCCCTTAGACATAACCGACTATGTTTGCCAGACACTGGCATTTTTTGACATAATTTTGTATGAATTTGTCCATTCAAGCGAAAGAAGACCTAAACGGAGCTTAATTCAGTATTTGCGTGCTGTCTGAGACAGCTTTTCTGGACGTGCGTTATGGATGTTTGCACACAGAGTAATGCTTGAATATTTAAATTGGCAAGGCTTTAACATTCGTGACGATGCAGCACTGCCTGTTAACTGTCGCGAGCGCCGTTCACGTTTGTTGAAGTTCAGGTTCTCACAACATTGCATTGTTAGAATTCATATAAATGTTACAGGCTAACTGGGGATTGTCACCGTTTTATATAGGCCTACTCGCCAACACCGATTTTAGCCTAGGCTACTTGCATTTTTGGCAATTGGCAAGTACCATATTTTAGGCCCTGTATACAAACATGGCCCTTGAAATGTTATTTAAGGATACATTTATATCCTGTGATGAAAGCCATCCATCTGATGTGTTCCTGCTCAAGAAAAGTTGAGAGTCAAGTGAGTTTGAACCAAGTTTTTAGAGTTATCCTGTGTCTTATGGGCTAAGAAAGAGAAAAAGAAGAAGAAAAGAAGTTCAATTATTCATTCCTTAATCCCTCCTTTGTGGTGTAATTGTTCTCAGTCTCATTGTGATTCAGCCATGTTTCATCAGTATGCACTCCGACAAATCATTAACAGAGCCTGTTAGCACCTCACGGTCTGCTATAAGGCTAAGCTCTGCACAGAAGACTGACCCAAATTTCCTGTACAAAAAAAAAAATATATATATTTATATAGGCCTAATCCCTTATTTTCCACTCGTTCACAGCTGTAATTCTGAAATATATCACATCCATTTCTGTCCTATTTTT